TTTTTTTTTTTTTTTTTTTTTTTGTGAAAATATTTTAAAGTCATTTAATTATGGAATGCATATATTTAATACATTCATTTAATCTATATAATATAATTTCTACAAAAAAAAAATGTAGAATAGTGAATTTATTGCCACGATTGATTGAGATTTAATTCTTGGTTGCTTCAATTTCTGTTTTAAAAAAATAAAAATAAAAAATGAAAAGTTAGGATTAAGTTTTGAAGTTTGTTTGGGCCCCTCCATTTCAGGCTAAATTTATGGAGTTTTGATGGGCAGTAAAAGTACAGCAGAGACTGTGAAAAGAATATTTACCCTTTTTTGCATTGCATGGAAATGTACCAAATCCCAAAGTTTTCACGGTTTGGAAATTTGAACGAAACATTTTTTAGAAGGATGTAGAAACCTCTCAAGATACGCATTTTAAAATCGTGAGATTGGTGCGATACGTAACAGGTCAAAGCGGACAACGCTAAGTTTAGGCAGGCATCAAGCGGTGTACCACAAGGAGTAGCGACTAAAAGTGAAATGTTATCTAAGGCAGCTTCAAGCTTCCATCTTCAATAAAGCGTGAACAACAAAAGTTAGAACTTTACCTCCATTTTTGTAATGAAACGCAATGGTATTCTCTGCTTTGCTAATGAGAGACTTAGTTGGACACCAACAAAAATTGAACCTCAAAATGATTGATGGGGTTTTTGTTTTTGTTGTTCTAACATCTTCTATGAACAACACAACTCACTACTTTCGTTACCTAAAATTCAAACTAAACACCACTTTTTGAACTTCAACTAATATTATTATATTATTGAATATTCACTCCTGTTTGAGCATGTGGGCAGGAATCACATCTTGAAGCAGCCCGTGATCTACCAGAAATGTAGCATTTGGGTTGCACAACCGTTTCTGCTGCAGCATTCCGGCCGCCGCCTTCCTTGCTCCTATGAGGTTGTTTATGTTGTAATTCGCTTCTAAATGCTGGGAATTCAACAACGCCGGGTTTTGTGTGTACTCATCCCACATCGCTCCACTAATGTCGCCATCTGTTTGTAACAAAAAAAATTTTAAAAAAAATTTATTCTTTCAAAATTTTAAAAACTCATTTCCATTTCCTCATCTAAAATATTCAAACTTTTTCCAAACAGATCTCCCGTGTGATCTCACAATCCACCTCTTTTCGAGTCTAGTATGGGATCTCACAATCAACCCCTTCGGAGCACAGTATGGGATCTCATAATCCACTCCCTTTAGGGCCTAGCATTCTCACTGACACTCGTTCCCTTCAATCCACCCCTTTTAAAACCTAAAATCCTTCTCCAATCAATGTGTGACCTCCTACCCAATCTACCCATTCAGGGTTCAGGGTCCTTGCTGGCACATTGCATCGTGTCCACTGCCTTCGGGGCTCAACCCTCTCGTTGGCACATCGCCCGATGTCTAGCTTGATATCATTTGTAACGACCCAAGTCCACCACTAACAAATATTATATCCCCTTGAGATTTTTCTTTTGGACTTCCCCTCAAATTTTAAAAACACTTAAAAAAGGTCTGATATCTGTTCTATTCGATTTGAATTGAAAATTGGAAGGATTGAAACCAACCATGATTGTTGTTGGCAGGTGGAAGGCAAGGCATGGGTGGAAGATGGATGCAGGGTGGAGTGGATAGCGGGGGTGGAAGAAGGATTGGGGTTGGGTGAGTGTGTTGGCCTTCGTAGGTGGTGACCAGGATGGTTGGATCATTGGAACATCGCTCCACTCTCTTCTTCACATTGCATGTTGGAGTGGTACACCGATAATAGCTCCTAAAAACAACATAAATTTATGGATAATTATTCAACAAATAAATAAACAAATATAAATCTATATACATACATACCTGGGAAAAGGGCTGTTTTTGACAGCTTTTTGGCCGTACTTCCTCCATCGATACCCATCTTCTAGATGATCCACTTCACTCTTCGTCATGAATGCAAATCTTCCCTCCTTCTCTCTCTTCTCCTTCTTCTTCTTCAATCTTCTCCAACACCCAACCAAATTATTAGGATCGCACCACAAACCATAACCCAAACAAATAAAGCTAAATTGAATACAGATAATAAAGAAACTACATTTTCTATAAAATCGAATAAGCTAAAAAAATGGAGTGAAAAGAGAAAAAAAAAACGAACTTTTTAGTGGGATTTTGTTGTTGTTGTGGGTTGTCGTGGGCGGCGGTGGGGTTGTCGTTAACGGCGTCGGTAGAGGCGGAAGAGACGGAGGAGGAACAATTGGGGGTGGCCGGAGGATTCAAAACCTGGGAAGAATAGCCCTTGACTTCATGATTATTAAGACCAAGCAGCTCCAGGAAGCCAACAGAACATTTTTCACCATCTGGGAAATCGAAGAATCCGTTTGATTTCATGTTACCGGAAAATGGGAAAATCCCACCGCCGCCGCCGCTTGTGCTAGTGTCCTCCGACTTGATAATCTCTTCCTTTTTCTTCTTCTTCACCTCCTCCATAGCCAAACGCTGCAACCCTTTGTCCAAGTTTTGTTTTTTTTTGATGAATTTTCACTTTTCTCTCTCTAGAAACTTGCAGTTGAAGAGAGAGAAATAGGGTTGAGTTTAAAAGTTTGTAGAATGAAGAGAGAGAATCTCAAAACGAATTTGTAGGTCATCGGTTCGTACGGACACGACACGAATTTCCTTCCATAATATTTCGTTAAAAAAACTATAATTTTAAAATTAAAATTCTAATTATTTTTTAACCAATTATATGGCCTAAGAAAATTACAAATCTGTAACATTAATTCAATAAAATGAACCTTTATTTTTTTGTAAAAAGGATTTATTTATATAATAAATAGTAAATTACTTGACCGGGAACCGGCTGATTTGTGAAGTGTGAATACGTTGTTATCATACTCTTTACACGTGCGGATACTACGGCTAAAAGTAGACCTCGCACGTGTATTCCGATCCACAGAATAAATATGGCTCTTTTTGGAAATTGCTGGGGGACAAATTTCTTCCTCTCTCTCTCTCTCTCTCCTTTTTCACTTTTGCTTTATGATTTTTTCTTTTATTTTTTAATTTAATTAATTCATTTTTCTTTGCATTCAAATCGTGTTCACACTTCATTTTCCCTGCTTTTCACACAAATATTTAATATTTTTTTTCCTTTAAGTATTTCATTTTAAATTAATAAATTAATATTAACTATTTAATATAAAATAAACTATTTTCTTTAGATACAAGTTTCCCATTACAAAATAAATTTTAAATTCTTATAAATAATATGTTCGTTATATTTTTTCCCTTTATTCATTATAAAAATAAAAACCGTACCAAATCTATGGACAATAACAACGAAAATTCAAAACCCTAATTACAACAAAATTATTGTATTTATCTAAAACTATGATTCATGTAACCCGAAACACACTAATTTGTAATTTTTTTTTAAGGCATTTGGTATTTATAGCTCAGCATGATGCATGTCACCCAATTAAGGTAATGTAAAGAATATATTCCTACATTGACTGAAGCACATGTAGGAATATATTTGTTTATACATTTATAAATATTATCACATCTATATAATCTCTGCCTAACAAAAACCCTAACTCAACTATAAACTAGTCGCGGTCGCGTTCAATGTATATGATCAATTTGATTATTATAATTCGTAAGCTTTTTTTATTTGGAACGAGAGTATAATAGCAGTACATGAAATAATCGAGATAAAAAAAATACTACTTATAACGACTATTGCAATTTCGTGAGTAAATGAAGGCAAAAGAATTAATAGTTACAACAGCTAATTTAGGGAATGATCATGGGTTTATAATCAAAAAAAATATTCTCTCCATTGGTGTGATGTGAGGCATTTTGGAGAAGGCCAAAGGAAAGTCATGAGAGCTTATGCTCAAAATAGACAATATCATATCATAACTGTCTTTTTATTCGACTTTTCTTTTTTAATTTATTGAGATATTATGGATAAAATTAAAAAAAATATATTAAATATAAAAATTATATTTCTCTCTCTCACTCAGTGCTGCGTCATCTTCTTCATCTAAAATTTGGTCTCCTCTTTTCCTCGTAATTTCCTTCTTCCCCATACCTTTTGGTCGGTTATTTATTTATTTATTTATTTATTTATTTATTCCTTTTTTTGGGATAATTTTAAATGTGAACAAAAGCAAAAGTTGTGTCCTGTTTGCATTTGA